CGCGAATTACGGTGCAAAAGCACAGAGTAAGACTGCGTGAAGCTGAAGACCAGAAAATAAGTGTGTCAATGTCTCTTTGAGTCCCCTTTTTATAATTTTCTTTTCGGGGAGTATTTTAATTCTAAGAGTGGGAATCTTCTAAAACTGCAACGAATTGAAATTGCGCAGAAGTGGGGATTCTTCACCTTAACGAATTAAAAATTGTGCTAGTGCCCTCATTAGGCGGGGTGTTTTTCCTACTTTTCAAATTTTCACCCATGGTGATCGTCGATTGGTGATCTCGATATCAGTTCAGAGTCCCTTGAGCATTAGATTTTTCTTGCGCACGTGATCTGATTAGAAAGTCTTACTTCCTTATGATTATTTTTATCAATATTAGTGCAGCTGTATTTACTGAATATTTCATTACAAAAGTTTCATCATTATTGATTTAGTTGTACTTGTCAAATATTTCGTAGGAATTAAAAGGAATTTTATTATCTTTTCGGTATCAATTTATTCTTCCGCTGGAAAATTCTATTGCGAGGGTATCTACTGATTTTTATTTATTTTTAGGCGCGGTTTCTCGCGTCTTTCTCACGGTTACTCATAGATATAGATATTGACAACTGACTAAATGTTTAAAGAAATGTATTGCGCAATTTATTATGCTCTATTTACTAAACGATTCATTTTTATCACCGATCGACTATCGTTGCCGCAACTTCGCTGAAGGAAGGAATCGTGGGACGAAGAAGTCGCCAGGACGTAACACAAGTATGGATTTGTAGTGACTGATAAAGAGTTTACGGACTAATGGACGACATCGAAAAGGATTTAACGATTTTGCATTACCGTAAAGTGGTTAGTCGCTATTGATACATCGATCAAGCAACGTCTAAAAATTTTCGTCCGAGCGCAACATGACGACGACGATTGACGATGACGATCGTGAGAAGCTTGCGAGAGAGATTGCAAAAACGAGCGAAACAATCCGCAAAAAATATCGTTTTTTAAAAACTGGTCAAATGGAGGAAGACGTCGCATTGGAGAGGCACTTTGAACCAATTGTCGAACCTCTAAAACAACTTGTCGAAAATACAATCAATGTGGAATCTAATGAAGCGAAAACCGAACCATCGAGTATGCTCGAAGACAAGCATCTGAAAAAAGAGTCAAAGTATGGAACAAAGCGAACACGGTCAAACACGGCCAAACACGGCCAAATATATCATTAAACGATTCGCTAATAACTTCTACTCCAAATCAATCAAAACGTAAGCGAATGGAACAATTATCGAATGCGGTTTCTCCGATAAATAACGTACAACCAAATCAAATATTGCACGAAAGACCGTCTCCATCTGTGGATGAAATTTTCGAAACTACGCCTGAAACGCTTGTGACGTCGATTTAACATCTATTACAAACGTCCGAGGGCCAAAGTACATTGCGCGCACACTTGGGCCCACTAGGGCAAAAATATATGGGAGTTATTTTAAGTCAAGATAAAGATAACAGTATGGATTATGTATACAATGTTAAATTTTGCAACGAAGGAATGATGATCGGTGATAAAACTTTTGATGTGGATAAAGATGACAATATAATTATCGGTGGAATAGAATACGTAGGAACACTAGGTCTCTACGAGTTCCCCTCCGATGGCACACCACCTTGACGTGGTGGAGGGGCTCCCCTTCCAATGTTTGGAAAGGGTCTAAGAGTGTGCCAGCCGACTCGGCCAATGTACAAGTCTGCTTTGTTTTTATTTATTTTGAGTGAGACTTGTGGTTTGGTTCGGGGTTATGTGGGGGGTTTTGGGGTTTTTATGGGGGTTCTGTGGGGATGTGGGGGGTGCATGGGTGCGGAATTTTATGGGTTGGGTGGGGAGGGTTTTTGGGGTTTTTGTGGGTAGGGGGGAAGGGTGTATATGTGTCCTTTATGGGACGATTGGCCGAGCGAGGTGGAGAGGAAGGTAACCTCGCTAAAAAATCCTGGGCAGGCCAGACTCGTCAGGCGGAGTGAAGCCAACTGGCCTAGGTGAAGGAAAACACCGAAATCAAACCACCTTCTTGATACACCATGACATGGACAATAAGACAGGTAAAAACCTTACCACCGCAGTGGGTTTCGGACCTCACAGCGGTCGGCGCGGGGGGATGTAGTCCCAGCTCCCCCCGCGTCGTCATCCGATGATGGGCTACCCGTGGTGTTGCCGACGAGCGCCGCAAGCGAAAGAGCTATCGCCGAAATAAAGGTGTTGCGGATGACCGCAGTCAGGGTCGACCGGCCTGGACCGTCTTCTTCGAAAACGAAGACAAGGGCCAAGTCGAGCTCTGCTGCGAGACAACATTCGTATTCGCGGGACGAGGGCCAATCCCGAGCTGTGAGCCTCATACGTCCGGGAAGCCCAGGCGCTAAGAGCGCGTCAAAGAAGGGTAGCGTCAGCCGGACCCCCGCATCATCATTGGTGCGGACTCCGTATGCTAGCGGTAGCGAGGGCTCGCAGGAGTCCCTCACCGAGATGGGCCCCGGCGGGCTCCTTGTTAAGAAGGGGAGGGGTAGAACTCCCACCACCGGGGAGCATGTGGGGATTCGCGAGAAGCGCGAACGAGAGGCCACCCTCCGGAAGGAAAGGGACAGGGAGAACAGGGCTAAAAAGGCCCTGTCGGAAGACATCCCTCCCCCTCTTCTGAGTAAGGAGCTGAGGGTGTACGAGGCCCAGTGCGCGGAGGAACTGGGCCTCGCACCCACGACGGACGTACCTGCGAGGAGCCTTGAGGAAGCCGCGGCGATCAACAGGATCGCCGCTTGTTCTGGCGACCTCAAGGGCTCCTTACAGAGAAAACTGAGGGAGGCTGCCGCCGTTGTAAGGGTGGCGGCAGCCACCCTCAGTGAGAGGGCCCAAAAAATGGAGGAGCCCGGAAAACTGGCCCTCCTACGGCGGGATTTGAAGTCCCTGCCTGACAGGAATAAAGGCCTCCAGAAGGAGGTCCATTCCTTGAGGGAGGAGCTGGAAGCGGTACGCCGCGCTAAGCCCTCCCTCAGGCTGCCTCTCGCCGGTTTGCCCGAGGAGGCCCTCCGCAAAAGAACGCGGGGCGCCCCTCGGGTGAAGTCGGTCAAAATTGTGGACCACCCTGTAAGGGTGGAGCGTCCACAGGGAAAGGGGGGACCCGGGTCCCCGACCGTTAGTGGGGAATTTGCAGGACCTAAGTCTTCAACGTCCCCACGCGGAAGGGGGGTTATGGGACCTGTGTCCCCAACGTGTGATCTGGGGGTTATACGGGGGGGGGGGTGCGGGACCTACGTCCCCAACTGTGGGTGGAGTTCGGGGAGCTCGCGGGGGGTGTGGCTATAAAGCCCCCTTTGAGGGAAACATCGGCCTCCCTCCCGGAGGGCTACCCCCTGCGATTGTGGACGAGGGCGCCAAGTCTTGGTATGACTAGTATACCGAGCAAATTGGGGCCCTCGTCGACCTGCGGGCGGCTTTGGGCCGCAGCGTGCCTGGACGGTCCCCCGCGTCGACCTACCGCCCGCCGGTGCAAGACCTCCTCCCCCTCCTTCCCGGTGCTTCTGCGCCGGGACAGAATAAAAGGAAGAAGAAGAAGAAGGGGAAGCGCGAATCGGGGGAGTAGAGTGGCACGAGGCCCCCTCCTCCCCCACTCCCTCCCCCGCGTGGTCCGCGTGCGGGCGCGGGGGGTCCGGCAAATGCCGTCCTTCCGTGGCGCCCAGCGGCCATCGCGGGAACAGGCCCACCCCCACGCCACGGCATGCCTGGGGCCAGGACGAATCCTGGTCCCGGGTCGTGAGGCGGAGGAAAAGGAGAGCCCAGAGGGCTAGAACCGGGCAACCGGCCCAGCCCAGTGGGCGGAAGATGCACACTGCTCGCGCCTCCCCCCCCGCTCCTAGGAGCAAAGGGGGACAGCAGCGGCAGGGCAAGAGACAGCCCCCTAAGGGAGCTGTCAAGAGGAGATCACCTCGGACGCGGCCGTGACTATCACGTGCCCTGATGGGGGGTACGAGAAGGCTCTTGCGAGGGCACAGAGGTAGGTCGATCTCCAGAAATTGGGGATCGACTCCCTCAGGATTCGGGAGGCGGCCACCGGCGCGATGGTGGTCGAGTTGCCGTGGTCGGGCGAAAAGGAGAGGCCGACCGCCGTGCAAAAGGCAGATGTCCTGATGCTCAAACTCCGTCGCGTATTCGCTGGCCATGATGGGGTAAGGTTAGCTCGCCCCATCAGGAAGGCCGAGATGCGGCTCAGGGGCCTGAACCGCGCCCTTGCGGCCGCAGATATTGCGGCGGCAATTGCCAGGGAGGATGGTTGCCTCCCGGAAGAGGTGCGGGTCGGGGACGTCAAGTTCCCGGAGAAGCCTTCACTTGCGCACAGTACAATTGGACACGTTGCAATTGCACACTGTGATATTAGACACATAAAGTTGCGCACCGTTCGATTGGACACATTTCAATTGCGCACAATTCGTTTGGACACATTTCATTTGCGCACCGTTCAATTAGACACGTTGTTTTTGGACACAACACATATTTTTGTATAATTTGGAATACATACACACGCATGTATGCATGTACAATTTTGAAATTTTTTGACATTTATTATTAACATTATTTGGTAAATAAACGTTTGTTACAGTTCTTTCGCGCGCAGTTCTTTCGCGCACATTTCTTTCGCGCACATTTCTTTCGCGCACATTTCTTTCGCGCACATTTCTTTCGCGCACATTTCTTTCGCGCACATTTCTTTCGCGCACATTTCTTTCGCGCACATTTCTTTCGCGCACATTTCTTTCGCGCACATTTCTTTCGCGCACATTTCTTTCGCGCACATTTCTTTCGCGCACATTTCTTTCGCGCACATTTCTTTCGCGCACATTTCTTTCGCGCACATTTCTTTCGCGCACATTTCTTTCGCGCACATTTCTTTCGCGCACAGTTCGTTTGCGCACAGTTCGTTTTAATTAGAAGAAGAAGAAGAAGAAGCTTATAATTATAAGTATATATGTGTGCTGTCCATAAATAATAATTAATAATTTTATTATACCATTCCGTATCTTTGCCTTGCACATAATTGTTATGACAGATTTCCTAACCTCTCGTAATGACAGCGTAATTATTTATTTTTTATTTTTAAAGAGTCAAACTTGACTGTAAATTCTCCAAATTTTTTTTTCCGGACGAAGTGTCATTGCACTCGTAACAGACAAAACGTAATGTAATCAGAAAGTATGAAAACATGTCAGTTAAATATAAAGTTAAATTAATTGTAATTTTCATCTGAAACAAATATTTCTTTGAGTTTCAATTAGATACATCACAATTTCAGTAAGTATTATGTATTTCAATATTTCGTAATAAGACAAGAATACAATTTAATAACATACCTAGTAATAGCCCAAGAAGTAATAAATCTTACTTATTTTCAGTGATGAATCATATCTTTGTTATAGATAGCATATCGTGATATTTTGTGCAATATCTCCATCAGTTCTGTGAAAGAAGTCTTTTACAATGTAAGTTGCTGGTTTCATAATCTTAGGGTAATTTGCTATTAAATAAACTGTATGTACGTATACTGTAATATGTAGACTCATGAGATTTGATAACATTTTTACTAAAGTTAGTTATTGTGTATATGAAATTCTAATATATTATGCTATTTATTAACATTTTTAAACATCTATTTCAGATATAACAGAACTGAGAGCCACATATCCTACGCATCTATAGTAATTTGCACAACAGGCCTGTCATCAATATCTCCATCAGTGTTCATTAACAAAGCACGAGATTCTTTTAAGCGAGAGTTTATTATAATTTTCTCCGCTACTAGAATCCTGTGAAATGTTATGAAAATATCAATATCTCCATCAATCGATTCGGATTACATTTTTTTAAATCCGTTTTAATCGACCATTTTCGGCAGGGTATACAGACATACACCTATACATCGAGACTGAGAATTCATTCCTCAGCGTTGGTAACCCTGAAACCTGAGTTTCACATTTTCACCGCGCTAGGTCTCCAATGTCAAATCGGAGTTTGCCCGTCACTCCTGTCGACCCTTAATGCAGTGTTTCGGAACATCTGTAGTTTTTTCCAACCGTAGCGTAGCCTATATTACCTACTGCATACATGACAGTTATCTTAACCTCGCGTGTTTCTCTCTATATTTATATTTCGTGTGATCGCATTTATGGTTTCAAAATATATATTTGTAAGTTTTTTAGATTTTCTGATCTTACTGAAGTGTCATTGAATAAGCATTTTTTGCGTGGAAGTGTTTGGGTATCATAAGAATGTACAACAAATTCTTAAATATTGCAACAAGGTACATGACAGTTATTTTAACCTCGCGTGTTTCTTTCTATTATTATATTTATATCTAGTTATCATTTTGATAGTTTTTCAAAATATATATCTGTAAGCTTTTTAGATTTTCTAATCTTACTGAAGTGTCATTGAATAAACATTTTGTTCGTGAAAGTGTTTGGGTATTATAGAAATGTACAACAAATTCTTAAAATTTTGCAACAAGGCACATTATAATTAAAAGTGAGTAATTTTTATATTTAAAAATCTTAAACACTTTTATGATCTTCCTGAATTTTATCTGTATGCTGGTCATTTTATCTCTATGGGATAAAGTTTTAAATACTGTATGGTCGGTATTCATATAGTCCGTTTTTATATTTAAAATAATTTTAAGATTCTATTTAATCAATCAAATGATATGCTATCTATAACAAAGATATGATTCATCACTGAAAATAAGTAAGATTTATTACTTCTTGGGCTATTACTAAGAATGTTATTAAATTGTATTCTTGTCTTATTACGAAATATTTAAATACATAATACTTATTGAAATTGTGATGTATCTAATTGAAACTCAAAGAAGAATCTGTTTCAGATGAAAATTACAATTAATTTATCTTTATATTTAACTGACATGTTTTCATACTTCCTGATTACATTACGTTTTGTCTGTTACGAGTGCAATGACACTTCGTCCGGAAAAAAAGATTTGGAGAATTTACAGTCAAGTTTGACTCTTTAAAAATAAAAAATAAATTATTACGCTGTCATTACGAGAGGTTAGGAAATCTGTCATAACAACTATGTGCAAGGCAAAGATACGGAATGGTATAATAAAATTATTAATTATTATTTATGGACAGCACACATATATAAGCACACATATATAATTATAAGCTTCTTCTTCTTCTTTTTCTAATTAAAACGAACTGTGCGCAAACGAACTGTGCGCGAAAGAACTGTGCGCGAAAGAAATGTGCGCGAAAGAAATGTGCGCGAAAGAAGTTCGCGACCAAGGGTATGGGCACGGTATGGGCCCAATGCCCGCTGAGGGCGGCCAACCGTGTGTCCGCGGCGCCGACCATCCAGATTGGATGGTCCAGGGCCGCAGCGGAGCTGTTGGAGAAGAAGCTCCTCCAGTGCTATAAATGCCTGGAGAAGGGCCACGTACAGCAGCACTGCAGCAGCGCTGTAGATCGCAGTGGCTGCTGCTACCGCTGCGGCGAGATGGGGCATCTTGCACGCGATTGCGCGGGCAAGGTCAGGTGCTCCATCTGCGCGGGGTTGGGCCGCCCAGCGGACCACCGCGTGGGAAGTGCGAAGTGCACTCCCCCCAAAAAGAAGAGGCCGGAGCAGGGGAGGCGAGTAACACTCCTATTATGGAGATTTTCGGCACAGAATGTTCGAGAATCGAGGTGTTTGTCACACTTTTTCTTTGTTTTGATCACGCTATCACGCGCCGATTGGCTGATCGCGACGTTTATTCTCGCTCGTGTTTTGATTGCGACTCTTATCGTTCAGATTTGTCGGTTGAATTTACAGTTTGAATTTATCGATTAAATTAAATGTTTCAATCTTGAACATACCGCCCGCCTTGGAACGATCGTTCCAAAATAATTGATACGACAGTAGCATTGAACGACAAGAGCGCACGCCACAATTAATGATATAAGGAAGAATGACCCTTTTTTTCCGATATGATTTAACACTGTGAATCAGCCGCCCGCCTTGGCGGAATGACGCTCGCGTCTTGACAATTTTATGCTAAAGTCTAATGAATTACAATAAATGAAACGCAACGCAGCGAAGGTGCCTATTTGCTCGTCACCTCACTATTGATAGGTAGAACGCATAATTTTACGATCGGTTTTCTGAATTCCGAGGTGGCCGTCTTGACGGTGACGACCCGTACGAAGCCGTCGGAACCGGGATGACATTTCGTAACTCAAACCAGTTCCCACTTACAGGGAGGTAATATAGGATTACGCAGGAAGACGAGTTGCCCGGTATCAATCGGCGGTTCTACCTTTCGCCATTTTGCTCGTTGTTGTAACGTATTGACATAGTCGTTACTCCATAGAGCGATTGAGAGCATTGTAGCGAACTAACCTTTTCTTCGAGAGGCGCTTCCTCAGGAAAGCGCTCATTGTTACACGGCCATTTATCGAAATCGAAGAACAGCCATGGAGGTCCATGCCACCATAGCTCGCGATTAATAACTTCATCGCCAAATATTCCGCGCGAAGCGCAATCCGCGGGGTTGTCCTCCGTTGGCACATGCCGCCATTCGACGTCTGGAAGACGAGTCTGAATGTCATTAACGCGATTGGCGACAAAAGTCTTTCGGATGAATAGACGTATTTGTATCTACGCCATTGTAGGATAACCGACATGAGATCGGTTTGTAATTTCGGCCCGGCGTTTAAATGATCATTTAACGATGTGCCGTTAGAAGTAACGCTCGATGCGTTAAAAACAACGCGAAGACGCGTAGTAGAGCTACTTTCCCGGATAACCCCGTGATGTGGGAGATAAACAGATTGTTCGATTTGACTTTGAACTGTCGGCGCAGGCTGCATATGCCCAAGTCGTTACGTTCCATGCTTTTCGCGTTACCGGATCTAATTTTTGCACGATAAGGTGAACGAGAATATCGTTCCAGAGTTCCTCCGGCTTTCGATTCAGATTTTTTAACGACGCTACCGCGATATTGACTTTGTCACATAAAGTTTGCAGCTTGGAAGCCGACTCGCGCGTTATCGTTGATAAGTTAAGCAAAGTCAAAAGATGTGTGTTTATCGACCGTCGTTTGCTTTCGTACCGCGGGCAGCGAAGGTTGAGTCGAAATGATTCTCCTTGTAGTAGCTAATTGATGACCGGATTGCTTCCGGGACCTTCCGCGACACCTCTGCATGTCCATTGGAGAATTGAATTCAGATGTCCTTAAGCGTGGAGATCCTCGCGCGTACTTTAGCCGGAGTTAAGTTGCTCCGGCCGACCTTTTTGAAATTGTCAAGAGAGCGTTCAATCGTACGCTGCAGCTGCTGCTGATGTGCAATGTGCTCCGACATCGTGGATGTGTCTGAATATCACTCACTCGCGAACGTATCCTCCACACACGCTCCAATCCGGCTCGAAGGACCAATATGTTCGGGAGTCGATCTCGACGAGATCGCCCGAATCTTAAGAAACGCTCAGAGATGAGCGAGAAGCGGTGTGTAACGCGAATCCGTAGATCCGCTGGAGGATAAGGAGAGTTCAGAAAATACTCGATTGCAGATTGTTTATTTGTTGCTGCAGTCAGATTTTAAATCAAAATTAATTAATAAGAAAGAAAGGCTCACTAAAATCCGCATAGAATCTGTACAAATTAGTGGGTAACGTCCAAACGCCATCGCCACATGTGTATCGTCGGTGATTTATAATATAATGATTTAATTTTAATTTAAATTAATTTTAATTTAAAATTTGACTGCAACAACAGATATTGTGTATGTCAAGTTTTAAAATATCAATTTTGTTCGGGAGTCGATCTCGACGAGATCGCCCGAATCTTAAGAAACGCTCAGAGATGAGCGAGAAGCGGTGTGTAACGCGAATCCGTAGATTCGCTGGAGGATAAGGAGATTGAGAAAAGAATCGAGTGCAGATTGTTAGTAATGTTCCCTTTATTTTGAATAATAGGAGCGAGCGACGGCACGTATTCCGCGATTCCGACGGAAATCTTCAAAATGTCCTGGTAATGACTGCCCTTTTTTCGCGGTTCGGAAATCTGTGATTCTGAAATCTCAGTGGTAAGAGCAGTTGCCCGGAAAGCGAAAGACTCGGGTTCGATTTCCGATTCAGCCGCTCGCTGCCACCGCGCCAAAGGCGGAGGCGACCGAGCCAGAGGAGCTGACTCGTTTCTTCTCGCTGAACCGGCTGTTGCGGGTAACCGCCTGGTGCAGGCGATGGAGGCAACGAGTGGCGGCTCTGCGGGGGCCCCCCGACACGAAGCTGCCCCTAGCCACGGGCGCCTTTTCGGCGGCGGAGTGGGACGACGCTCGCCTGTCGTGGATCTGGGCAGTGCAGGCTGCAAAATACAGCGAGGAATCAGAAGCGCTCGCACGGGGAACCCTACTATCTAAGAGCAATCAGCTGATCAAGCTTACCCCGTTTTTAGATCCTCAAGGAATCCTCAGGGTGGGTGGACGGCTCAAGCATTCCCTCCTGGCCTACGACGAGCGACATCCGGTGATCCTGCCAAGCTCGTCGCACTTCACGCGGCTCACCATCGAGGCCTATCACCGGCGAACACTGCACGGCGGCGTGCAGTTCATCTTCGGGTCCATCCGACAGCAGTATTGGATACCACGAGGGCGACAGCTCGTCAAGGAAGCGATCCGACGGTGCGTCACCTGCGTCCGATAGCGGGCGGCCTCGCAGCAGCAGATCATG